TTTTACAAATGTGTGCAATGGAGCTGCACAGAAATCGGCGCAATAAACAAAAACAACCTTAATTCACAGCGGATGTTGTAAAAATGATACCGGACCAGTCGATCAGAAATTTGCCAAGCGCCAAGAACGAGTGGATAATCCCACGCGAGTTTCACAGTTCATTGATAACGGCCGTTAAAGACAAGCTCGGACAGCCCACGTACGGACAACTCCCGTCTCAGGCGAGTATGTCTTCCTCGGTATCCGTCGAGCAGGCCTGTCTACCGTTCCCGCTATCCTGCCACCTCCATCTCCTCCTCCTTCTCCTCCTTTTTCCTTTTCCATTTTCAGCCGGTGCAACGCCGGTGCGGTTTGCCTACTCGCCGTCGCCAATGGCGGCCTCGAGAAGCATTCGCGCCCCGGGCGGAGATCATTTCTGTTTCCCCCGCGCTATATCGTTATCGCGCCACCATTTGCGCTCTTGAAGCGAGAGATATGAGAAGAATGTCCCGGAGGTAGACAGCTGCCGCGGAACGAACGCCGTAGTTCCAGCGCGCAGAGAAGTACCCTCCACGATCTCAATGGCAAACTAGCGTGCTCTTCCAAATCCCCTCGATTTCGTTTCGATAGGGTGATAATTGGAAAATCAATATCGCTAATTCGAGCGATCGCTGTTTTAATTTTATTCCACTTTCACACGCTTTCAAAACGCTGCTTTCGCAGCGTTTCTTTGTTGAATAAGTCCTTCTTCATTAGATTTCTATTAATTTTTTTTTTTTTTTTTTACGTGTTATGCTCGCAAAAGATATTTAATTGAAATTGTCGTAAGATGAAGAATTTCCAAATTGCCGCCTGCGTGCGCAGCCCACGCGGAAACGAGTTTGCACTTGTCGCATTGAATTATTATTCGCAGACTCGTATCGCGTACGTCACTGGCTGTTGCAAACCGAGGTAGTCGAACGTGCCACGCGATCTGGTTATTCTAGTTAACATCACCGGTGGACGAAGCTCCTTTCGCCTACGTCGTACGCGCTCGTGTTTCTCCTCTTGTGTGTCTCTGCGAATTTAAATACTCGCCTCATACAGACGGCGACTACAGTCACTGAGATGTCACCGCGAAATGTCTCGTTTTCATAAACGATTAGCAATGCAAATTCCTCGGTATAAATTAAATGTAGTTATGCAGAAGACAACCAACTTATCAATGCAATAGAGAAACAATTATATTCATCATTCTCTATGCATTCTATGCATAGAATAATATTTAAATAAAATATGTGGCGAAATGCAAAAAAAGTATGTAAATTATATATATTTCAACAAGAGTGACTTTTAAGACACTTGTGAAATACGGATAACGATTCTATAAAAATGAAATAAATTCTAGAAATATTCAGCAAAATGGTTCTATCTAGATTAAATTTCGTTTTTATCTTTCAATTAACTTTGGCACAATGCATTTTGTAAATTTTGATACATATATCCAAAATTTATTAAAAGAATTATAAAAAAAAAATATATATATCCAAAAATGGTCAGGAGAAAAACGGATAGACGTAATGTGTACCATTTTTCAAATTGCGTTCTCTCTTTTTTTATTTTTAATCCGCTTTCTCCATTATTGGAGTGCAATTATTTTTTATTATCGATTTACAGCTGTTTCGTGTAACGTCGACTTCGGGTAGCTGCAATCTCGCGGATCCCTGTATGTAAAAAAAAAACGTGCTCCACCAAGCTATTCTCGGAAGGCGAGAGTAGTCAGCGAGGACGGTAGAGGAGGGTACGCGAGGGTACGCGACCGAGGAAGAGAACCCGTGGACGTACACAGACGCAGGATGAAACGCGTTCCGCTTTTCTTTGAGTCTAACCGCCCTAGACATTCCATCGAGATGACTTCAAGGGACCCCACTGCGTGCGCGCGGGTGTGTTCCCACACGCACTCGTGTTGCAAAGAAGGCGGCGGAGGAGGTGGAAGAGAAACAGAGGAGCAGCGGCAGCACTCGGAAAGTGGACATTGTCTGAGACCAGCGGACGTATAAGGACATCACGGACTTTCGCATCAGAAAAGGTTAGCCCCTTGTAGGGCATCCCGCAGAATGGGCTGCCTGTAAATCACTCACTGGATGCGATGCGACGGTATGTTACCGCGCGGTGGATAAAAAGGATGGATGAGAGGATGTTGCGATTGGGGTGGTCTCGTACGGGGGAGGGGGGGAGGGAGATGGGGCTGGTAATACCTGCCGCAACTCCCGTGAGACGCTTCGGATATTCGAAAACCCATCGCGTATCGATTGTTCGAGAAAATTTCCTGAAATCATTCTGTCGTAAACTGCGAGAATGCGATATATTTTTCTCCGCCTGAAATGTGTGTTTTTACTTAAATTGCAGAAAATTTGATATGCGTTTCGATTGAAGTTGGACAAGTTGTTAGCCCGATGTCTCTTGATGTGACATGGTATACGATAAATTATCCTTTCGCTATTTGCGTGAGATCATATATCGCGTTGATTTATGTGCTTACTTTTTGTTTTATGTATCAACTTTTAACTTAAAGTTCACAGTCATATGATATCTCATTATTAAAAAAAAGTATATATCGAGAAAAAAATGCAGGTGAGGAAAAGAAAGAACAGGGAAGAACGAAAGAAAGTCCAGTTGGAACCCAGTGTAAGCCCAACTATGGGCACAACCAAACCTGAATCTCTCGTATCAAACACTTGCGTTCCAGTGCAGTCACCCGCACGATGTGAACGATCCAGGAAAGCTCATTCGCGTTACGTTGACCCTGCGACGACAACGACGACGACAGCGTCGTATTTCTATCGCGAAAATGCACATGCGTGCACCGTGACGAGACAACAAGGCGACAGAGATGTGTCCGGATGCTCGCCCGTGAAGCTCGCGCGGAGCAAAAAGTCCTCGCAGACCAGCCAGGAAACAAGAAGAGCTCGAGAAACTGCCAGCACCAACAAGAAGCCGACCGTCTTCGACGTGCTCTGGTACCCCGAAATACACATTGTTCGCGAAAGACCAGGCCGAGTCTCCGAAGTATCCAGAAATGGCTCGAGACAGATGCGTTGGAAAATTTCATTGCAAATGTTGAATAATAATAATAATTATGCAGCTTGTACGTAACAAAATTATATACGAATAAAGATCTGAAAATAAACGCAGAATTTAAAGTTAAATTGAAATTATATTGAAATAAGTAAAATAAATAAGTAAATTAAATTGAAATAAGTAAAATTTTGCGTGAATGTGTATATAAATTAACTTGAGAACGAAATAAACAATAAATAGTCTGTTATGATTGAAAAACAAATTTACAAAGCGAGAAATAAAACTGTTCCTTCAATTCTCAATTTTTTTAACAATTTTGTAGAATCATATTTTTTAGCACAATCGCTTTATCGTAAAATAATATTATTACGGCAATCAGGATTGTTTTATTTTCTTCGTATTATATCAATTTCGAAGTAATTAGCGATATTTTTATACAAAGGCAATTACTTCTCGCTTCAGCAGGCTGTACAAACTCAACAGCCTAATCGACCGTGCTGTCCTATTCATTTAATCGAATTGATGTCAGTGGCAGATGTTAAATCGCGACAGAACCAGATACGCGGCGACGACGACGGTTGCGACGACGGCTATCCAGAAGAGCCGAACAAACCAAGTGGCAGTCAGCTGATTTTGACAGATCCCGTTTCAGCGAATGTGGGGGCGTAAAAGGTCGGCCCCCACGACGAGCACAATGAACTGTCGCCCGAGCGCCATTGTCAATTCCGTGGCGCAGAGTCTCCCAATCCGTGACCAGTGATGCGATATAATTGTTCGGACAGAAAAATCAGGAAAATAACACGAATATCCGTGTTTTATTAGCTCTCCGACACTCCGGTAAAGAATTAACCGACACATTTGCGCAAAAACCGAGGCGCAGACACATTGTGTAAAAAATACGAGAGAAATAACTCAGATATTTTCGATTTTTCGTGGACCAACAAGCGTCACATCAAAGTTTTGACATTGAATAAAATTTATACAATGTCGAAATAAAATAAGATCATAAGATTATTTTTCAAATAAATAAATTCTCGATTATTTGAAAGAAATATTTCTAGATTAATAGGCCACTATTTTAAAATATTTCTATTTTTTTATTCTTTTTATTGTCTACTATGTAACTAGACTTTCAAATTGACTTTCAAATATGAAAAATAATTATCAGAGAGCTTATTTCATCACACGGTTCATAAATTTGTATGCATTTAATACCTAGATACATTTGTCGTGACAATTTAAAGTAGATTGGAAAAATTATTAGCAAAATAAAGTATTGTTGGTATTAATAAATAGTAATAGATATGTAAAATTGTACTTTCTTATATCAAGGATCTTGATCAGGATTCTTCAAAGGAATATATAAATCTAATGAACTGATCAGATATCTCACGTTTGGGAAACCCTGTTCGTAGTTGCGTTTACAAACGATCAATCGATAGGGGGCCCCGTTGCTCTCGTATGCCTTTTCACATCGCAGCTATATTAATTCGAGAAGCCAGCTGTCGCAGTCAGGCCAATAAAATATCATTCAAATACAAGCCACGGCAAAATCATTATAATAGTACGTAATCATGCATGACCAAGAGTGAAATCTTCGATCTCGGAATTACTTTCACGGACGTAGAAAACTCGCCATTAAATATAATTAGAAAATTCGTAGATGAATAGAATGATATGATATTTAACAATCTTCTAAAAATATTCTTAATAAGTATACATTACATTTTGATGATTGACAAACATATGAATCCGTAATGTCAACTCACACACAAATAACTATATAATACCAATACTAATAATACGAATAATACTAACGAAACATTATTACACAGAACAATCTACTTCCGTTTGTAATTGAAAAATGGAAAAATAGGAGTGTAAGTGCGATACTCATATGTATATTTAAAGATAGGATATCAAAGTATGCATAATTTGAGAAATAATTTCAAATAACTTACCCTGTTGGGCTGTACGTGCCAGCTACGCCTTTTCCCGTGTCTCTGTATGCCGTCCTCTGAAATGGTTAGGTCGGCCCTGCTGCCAACCAAACAACCCCCCGTATCGTATTGGCCAACCAGAAGCCTCAATCGATTTCCTGGACAGATGCCCTAGGGCAAAAAAAAAAAAAAATACAAAACGTAACAACAGTTCGACTCCGACGAATAAATTTTTAATCGCGCATGTTCTGTATATCTTGAATAAAATTCAATGTGCTTTCTTCCTCTTTCTCTTTTCACAACTGAAAATCTCTTAACGTAAAGTAAATAAATAGATAATTTTATTCTTTAATAATAGATAATTCTATTATTAAATTTAAAAACTTCTTAAACGTCAGGCACATAAATTTTAATTTATTATTATTTACATTAACCGTCTGCATTTTTATTTATTTATTTTTAATTTTCACATCTGTCTATTCATCCTCCCTAAAGAAGCTTTTTGGTCCACTCGCACGTGGGAAGGACCCTCGAGCGAGGAAAGGCCCCAATTAGATGTCTGAATATGTTGCGAGTCTGTGTAACTTTGTTTGAGATTGAGACGAAAATAAACGTTATACCGTCTGTTGCGTCGTGCCTCGAGAAACGAGCGTCGCCACCGAGTGATGCATGCCGCGTAACTCATTCATTTACCACGAAAGCTACGAAGTTGTAGCTCATAAATCTCGAGAGATATGACTCTTTTTCGTGAAATGACACTAACCATCAAAATCTCGGAATTTAAATATAGTAACATTAGTAAGACTGACGACATTAATAATTGTCGAGATTTTAAATTTTGTATCAATTTTTTTTTATTAAAATACGCATAAAGAGAAAAATGTGAAAAATATACAAAAAAGTCTTAATATATCGAGTTTAATGTCGCCTATTTCTGATTTCAAAAATCAGCAAGTTGTAATTTTCATCGATTTTTTTTCGATAATTGAGTACCGATAGCCTTCATTAGTTTTTCCTTCAAATACGATCGAAGAGAGAATCGATAACACAAGTGAGATTAATAAAAATCAAATTAATTAAGCTTCTGACAAATGACAAATTCACGCTAAAGAAAAACCAATAAGAATTCCAATCCGCCAATAAATATCTGTCGTACATCTATTAAACTGTGGCGTTGGTTCAATCGATGCCTATAGCAATGGACTATTCTGACGACGTCAGAAGTTCCCAGTTTCCAATAAAGATCAGGAGACCATATCATTCAATCATCCTCCACCCACGCCACATCGCCTTTACTCTCAATTACCGTTGCTCACATGTGTTCAAACGGACACGTGTCGGTGATGGCTAACGGCGATGAGGTGAGTGTTTCGGCGGACAAAAGTCACTTCGGGAAAAGCAATTCGATAAGATGTACCAAGATCAAGTTGCCCGAGGTCATGTACTTCGAGGCTCACTGTATCCTATAAGAAGACGACCTCACAATAATTTCAAAACCATTAACCATGATACAAATAAATCAGTTGATTAGCTTAAAAGTAAAATTAATTTGTATTCAATGTTAATTCACTATTTTAGAACACACTGTTGGAAAAAATGCGTTGAATTTAACATATAAATCGCATGTCCCAAACGGTCCACACAAAATTTTGTGTTAATTTAACATAATACGGATGTGTTAAATAGTAACACCGACACTTATGTTAATATTTCAACAAAAAAGAAATGTACTCTTGATCTTAATTTGAAGTTAATTATGTGTTACAATTAACATAATTTTTATGATAAAATAACATGTCGAGACGCGTCAAAATTCGAGATTGCATCGAGAACCACACAAAAAATAATAACAAGTCATCCCCACTCCTGTTGTAAAGTAAAACCAACATTTTTTCTTGTGTAAATTTTAACATATTGAATAAATACGTACGAATTGTATTATTTTAACACATTTCTTAAATCATTTTAATAATTTTACATTTTATATTTGTTAAGGTCAGTTAACATAGTAGCCATGTGTTAAATATGTAGATTATTTAACACAAAAATACAAAATGTTTTTTACTGCGTAGCTTCAAAAATAATCGTCTTTCTTATTGCAAATTGTCACGAAATTTTAAGCATGGAGATCAGTTTTGTTCTCTCTCTCAAGATTATATAGTTAGTAATATAAAGCTATTTACGATGGCTGATATTGTAAGCATGAGACTGCTGCGATCGAAGGTAATTGCAATGCACGTTAGTCCCATTTTCGCGATAATAACGTTGCCTCGTCATACCTCGAGAATCTCCGGGGCCGCTTTGGTGCATCAGTTCTTATGAATTATACAGATGTGCATAAGCAGCCTTGTACACGCGAAGTACTCGTACGTGACAACAGCTTTGTTACCGCTTAAAGAGATAAATTCGCTCTCTGAATAGAATATTATAAGAATAAGATATAAAATTAAGAGAGTTATTAAGAGCTAATAATATGGAAAATGTTCTATGTAATGACTTTTACACATTAATAAGTATATGTTATATAAAATAAACAGACAAATAATAAACCATACTGTAATAAAAATAAGATTCATAAACTTTTAGAGCTTCTTAATTTAGAAATATATATATTAAATCTCCGTAAATTTTCCATTCAATAAGTCAAAAAATCAAGCAAAATAAAAAATTATAAAATAAAAAAAAATTAATTTCAATTATTGAAATGGTAGAGGCTGAGATAACATATTGAATTTTTATACAATAATTTAATTAAATCAAATAAATAATTTAATAATATAATTGGATATTTGTAGGTTAGTAAACCTATTAATAAATTATCTACTATTTTTATCGAACTGCAACAACTTGATGAAATATCATTATTCTGATTACTTGTAATTTAGAAAACTTTTTATCTCGTGTTATGTCGCATCTGCCTTTCTAATTGAGCGAATATATTGGCGATTCTTAATAATTGTCATAATCACATCAGTGCGCAGTCTGGCAGATCAGAAGATCGAGATCACGAAGCTAGATCGTTGCAGTTGGTCGGTCTATTTTCGCGATAATAACGCCACTTGGCAGAAAGAAAGAGAGAGTCTTGTTCTCGATTCAGTCTTGTGTCTCATGCATTATAGAGTCGCGTATAGATAAGTACGAAGTACGTATGTGGAAGTACGTAACGCGCATAGATAAGTACGAAGTACGTATGTGGAAATACGTAACGCGTGTTCTTCATTAGCGGATAAACTTTATTAAAGCTTAATAGAACAAGATCCGATTAACGAAGACACAAACGGAATGTCGAAATACAAGGAAATTTCATGTATTATCTGCTCGCCTAATATGTGTTTTCGATTAGCGGAAAATGCAATTGGACTGTAGTCGAAATTGGAATTTCGATATTTACAGACGAGTCGTGGGATTCGGAGATAAAATAAAATCTGATGGGTTTTCTTTCTAGAGAAATAAAATTGATTGTCGTATTGTAAAACCACGGTGAACTTGTTCGAGATATAGAAATTTTCCACGCTATACGATGTTATTTTATAAAAATCTTGAACTTCTTGAAATGAGTTTGTAAGTGAAAAAGATGTGTACTTAATAAATTTTATTTTTCTTTTTTTTTAAATAACTACCTGTCGACCTCGCAGAGAGCACAGCCACCATCCCTCTAGACCAGCAGTGTTTTGCTCCAGTACGGTGAGGACGTCGCCTTTTCGAAAAGCTAACTCGTCCGGCGCCTCGGCGATATTGTCATACAGAGCTCGTGCTTTCACGCATTTCTGCTGCAACACAAAAAGAAAGAAAAATAGTGAGCGCAATATATTTACAAAAAAAAGAAATAGATAAAAAATCGCAACAAAGTTATTAATAGAAAGACGAGTTGAGTGAAAC